CCACGGGGGACATCAGCAGAAGCCATCTCGCATGGCAAAGGCAGCCCTTGGCATTGCTGCTTTCCTGAGGGCTGACCACTGTCCGTGCACGGCAGAAGGGAGAAACCCCCCACCGACCCTGACCTTGTGCAGATCTGCCTTGATGGCTGCCAGGATTTCCTTCTCCTTCTCCTGCACCATCCGCTCCAGGGCCTTCAGCTGCTGCATCCTGAACTCCAGTGAGCGGCACCGGCCTGAGTTGAAGGCAGCCCTCGCCCGCCCAACGACCTGCTGCATCCTCTCCATGGCTGCTCAGTGCTGCGGGGAGAGAGCAGCAAAACCCAGCTCACTATGGGGACATCAAGGGCTGCTCAGGCCTGGGGACACTCAACGTGGGGCCACCTCCAAGAGATGTCCCACCCACAATAAGGCTGGGAGACGTTCTCTTCCTTGGGTGGCCTCCTGCTCCCGAGGTGACTGCTCAGGGCTCCCACCCTCCCATTTCCCATCCTACCTGCGCAGGGTCCACCAACGGAGGGCACCTCTCACAGCAGCCCAGTATCTCTGGGCATGGCTCGGGCACAGGGCTCTCTCTAGAGACAAAATACCCTGTACCCAGATATATCCTCACGCTTTGAATACGCAAGCCCTGGATCACTGCGTTCAGCCGTGACAGTGACTCAGCCACTCATGCAGGATTGCGAGAGACCACGTAGCGTTGCCCACGTTCGGTGCACAAGGCCAGGGGAGTGCTTTCACATTCCGCAGCAGCCGTCGGAACCCAACAAACGCAGCCCACACTATTGTCCACATCTGAACCTACCCACAACGGACAACGCCTGCAGGTGGGAGGCAATCAGGACGGATTTGCACAGGACAGGAGGAGAAACAGTCCAGCTCCTCCGCAGCTCCCAGCACCATCTTGCCCCACGCCCTGCCTACCTCTGGGCACCTCTTCAGCAGCCTGCCTGCGCTCCCCTGCCAGAGCTCTGGGGGATCCTTCCCCACGAGCGGGGAGGTCATCGCTCTGGGGACCTGCGCTCCTGCGCCGGGGCACAGGCACCTCGTCACACATGCGTGACATTCAGCCAAGCCGTGGCCAGAGCCGGGAGCGGCAGAGGACAGGCAGGGTTCCCCGGGAGACTGCAGGGACTTACCATGCTGGCTTTATTATTTAAATTCTCAGTGTTTATTTAGTACTTGCAAAATAGATCATTAAAAAGGCTTAGCACATGGATTTTCACAAGACATGAAGAAATCCCACCTATTGCACAGTAAATATAATTTTCTGCCCTATATTAATTGCATTTAATAATAATGTTTAAATTTTCCTTATTTAAACGTTAGTATTTCTAAGGTCCTTTCACCTTAAATTTCTCCAGCATCCTCTCCCCAAGCTAGAACAAGCCCCATGTTATCTCCCAGTGCAAGATTATAGCAGACCCAGAAGCTCGAACACAAAGGAGTACATGCTCTTTCAGTAATTTTTTACCCTTGGAGGAATTGGACCAGGAACGTGTTTGTACTGGTTTTGGCTGGGATGGAGTTAATTTTCATCACAGTCACCAAATTTCTTCATAGTAGGATGGCGCTGTATTTTGGATTTGTGACCAAAACAGTGTTGGTAACACACCCGTGGTTTAGCTGTTGCTGAACAGTGCTTGCACAGCGTCAAGGGCTCTGTTTCTCACACTGCCCTGCCAGCACATAGGTGAGGCTGGCAAGAAATGGGGAAGGGACACGGCTGGAAGAGCTGACCCCAACCGACCAAAGGGATATTCCAGACCATACAACGTTGTGCTCAGCGAGAAAAGCTGGGCGGGGAAGAAGAGGAAGGGGGGGAACACTGGGAGTTATGGCGTCTGTCTTCCCAAGTCACCATTACATGTGATGAAGCCCTGCTTTCCTGGCAACATCTGAACATCTGCCTGCTGAGGGGAAGTAGTGAACAAATTCCTTCGTTTGCTTGCTTGCACGCCCAGCTTTCATTTTACCTATTAAACCTTATCTCAACCTCCAAGTTTTCTCACTTTTACCCTTCTGATTTTCTTCCTTATCCCACTGCAAGGAGCGAGCGAGCGAGCGACTGCATAGGGCTTGGGTGCCCCCCGGGCTAACCCACAACAGGGTACTTTGTGATTCCCACTTCTCTAAACAGGCTTGGAAGTTCTTTTGTACGAGCGTAAGATACTCTTACCAGCAAACCGCAGACAGTGCAGGTATCATCTTGGTAATTTTCTAACTGCCAAATAATTGTTGCAGGCACACAGTGAAACCCAGAGCCCCAAAAAGGGTGTCAGCCTGCATCCCCTGACCAGCTGTGGACAATTCTGGCTCATAGGGATCCATTAATATTTCCCCTCAATTAAAGTGCCAACCTCACTAGATTTATTCATAACCATCACTACTGGTGAAACACATCAGCCAGCACGGCCTGTCTCAGGCTCGTCACCAAGAGGCTGCTTGTTCGGAGCACAACAGAAGAGAGACCATCCCGAAAACTGCAGGGAAAACACTGTCAACCCAATCACAGCTGAAACTTAAGCTCCTCTTTGTCACTGAAGGAAGGTAAGCGGTCTGGTGCAAGACACAGTGTGCGCGTCCCTGGAAGCGGCGCTCTGCGTGGCAATGGGGTGGAGGTGGAGACTGGTATTTCTTGCTCTGCAGTCCTCCTTTTGAGAGCTTGTACCCACTGGTCCCTCTGTTTCAGCATGGCTTTTTAGCAAACAGGAGTCCGAGCCTTCTCTTCGTTAGTGCCTCTCTAAGGCTACTCTGTGTGCTTGACAGCTCACTGAAATAACCCAGTACAAAAGAAAACCATGACTTCCCAGCTTAAGGAAACAGACACAAAGCGAGTACTCAGAGTATGACTTGCACATGGCGCCTTCTCCTCTCTTCAGTAGTAAACCATCTGTGAAAGCAAAACACAACACCAAAGTCCTGTGAAGGATTTGCCGAAACAAAACCAACCCCCTTTCCAGAACAGCCTGAAGCAAAGGCCCTTCACTCAGGGTGACGTCCCCAGGGTCCAGCTCGCCTGCCTCCTGCCCCCTCGGCATGCACTGACTGCTGGTTCTCTTGGATGCTGTATGAGCTCCGAGCACTGCTAGGGAAAGCACTGCTCTCTGGCTTCAGGGGGATCCTTCTGCAAGCCCCACATTCACTACTCTAATGAGGCTTTGCCTGATCTCTAATCAGGTCTAACACAGGAGAAAATAAAGGCTCCTACCTCACAGTGACAGCCACAGCACTGCTCTGAAACCTGCTCCTCCTCACCACACACTGAGCCAGCCCAGCCTCTGAACAGCCAGCACAATCAAGAGAGCTTTTCTCTTCAGCACAGACTGGTGATTCTGAGAAAACCCAAATGATTTCAAGATGCCGTGAGTTTCCCCCTCTTTGCTGAGAGGGCATTCACCTAGACAGGGCCTGCCTCCCTGGCTGGTGCTTCAAGGCCTGAGCCAGTTGTTGGCTCTTACCCCTCCTCCTGGACTCCGATATGCAGGCAGGGTATTTCCCCCTGTTTGCTGGGCTCCTGCATGTCTCCTTGCAGTGGTAACACCACAGAACAGACTGAAGGGCAGAGTCCTGATCCACCCTGCTGTCTCCTGTCCCCTCAGTGGCTGCTCCCTTAAGCCTCCGGAACCCCCAGGATGCACAGTTGAGCTTTGCAAGGAGCAGCCAGCGCAAGCTCACAGAGTGCCTGGTCCGCCAGCCACGGAGAACCACCAGCGATCACACTTGGAGTTTCAGATCTTATCCTCCCACCTCAGGAGGCATCTCGAATCCTTCGGCCAGCACCAGCAGGCTTCTGCCTCCTGCAGACAGGGAAGGACATCCCACCCTTCTGCACTACCCAGCCAGCAACAGGGGAGGAAAGGGAAATAACTGAGCTAAGGTCAGATGGGGGCCGCACCTGGGCAAGGAAAAAGAGCTCGTGGTAGCCCTAGGCTTTAGGGCACAGCCTCCCTTCCCCAGGGCCCTGCAGCACAAAACTGCAGCCCGCTGGGCTAAGTTGTGGAGCAGCTCACAATGCTGCTGAACAAAGCCCAGGAATCAAAATCCCTCTGAAGAGACCTGTCCAAAACGTACCAACCTCTGCCTCTGGAGGGAGCTTCTCACAGGTGTCACCCACCAAGGCAGAGCAACAAATAATAGCACAGCAGCCTAGGAGATTTCTCCGAGGACGTTTCTATTCTACATAGCACTTGCAAGAGTGAGAAGCAGATCTTGATAATTTCAGGTGGGACAGATATCATAAGTCTCAAGACAGAAAAAACAGGACGGACTCTAAGAAAGGACTGCAGTTACAAAGAGGGAACTTGCAGAAGATCAGATGAATTGCACATGCACTCGTGTAGATGGCAAAGAGCCAAAGCTCACCTTTATCACCACCGCTGCCACAATCCCCAGCAGGGCCAAGACGACCAGTCCCACTCGGCCCTTGTTAAACCGCTTCAAGAGGAAGAACTTGGCCCAATCCACCTTCTTCTGGCTGCCAGGTGGGTACCGGAGTTTGTTCGTACCCTCCATCTTCAGGTCCTTGATCAAGCAGGCGGGGGGAGGGGAGAACGAAGCAATGCTGGCCGTGGCAGGCAACCCACCCATCCCGCTGTTACCTGAAGGACACGACCCAGGCAGGTCACACCACGGGCTCAGCCACTCAAACCTTTGGCCACTTGAGGCCATCAGCAGGGCAAGAAGCAGCACAGGAAAATTCCACTTGCTTGCCAGCTGCACTGCACGTTACCTACCCTGCATCTGTCCTGCTGCACCTTAAAAGCACAACTTCTCCTCTATATTCCTGCAGAAAGGACCCCTGTTCCTTCCTCTCTACAGCACTGCTCAGTCTCTAACATGTCCAGCTGTACTCCAGCCCTCTTCTTCCCCACCCCGATTCCACTACACACTCGCCAGTACTTCGCTGCGTCCCTGTGCCTCCGAGCCCTCTCCACCTCTTCCCCTGGATTTAGCTCCCTCTCAAAGCACCATGCCAAGGCCCCGAGATCCGACCAGCGCTGTGTGAGAAGGCTTTCCTGAGGAGTCCTGCAGGGTGCGCCTCCGTTTTCCAATTCCAGGACACCACGTGCCGTTCACAGCAGAACGCTGCTGGTTCACAGTCAGCTTGTGAGCACTGTAACACCCAAACCCTCTCCTGCAAAGCTCCCGTAGGCTCCTCCATAACCTCTTCCGA